CTTCCCTTGTTCCCCATTAAACTTTCTTCTACCAGAATACAACAGTGTGACTCTCCACCCCCAAACCGTAATTTTATTATGCTGGATAGAATGATAGTCTCTTAAGCAATGCAAGAAAACATATACATTATGATCTCTCTTCATCTAATTCTAAATAAGTTATTTAGATTAGTAGCTTTTTAAAAATGGTTTGTTTGTAGATATGATTTAGTCACCTAAATTTGGTAGTAGTTGTTATTTTTACAATGTGAGACATGATTTAAATGGAGAAGCAGCAAGAATTCCTTTCACATGCAAATAAGTTCATTAAAGCAGATCAATATGTTGGGTTGTTCTATAGAGTACCATTAGTATTACAGCTAAATAAATATTTTATGTAAGCACGGCCTTTTCCGACCTAATATTTTGAAAGAATCAAGGGGATTACCAGAATATTTGCTTGTAAAGCAGGAATCTACATGTGCTTTCAGCAAAGCAGTTTTAATCACTGACTGTCAACTATAATATTTCAACATATGTACTCCTTCAATGGCAGGAAATTACAGGATTTTAAGGTCTGGGTGTGGGGTAGGTAGTGACTGAATATATGAACATTTTAGGTGTGTGCCTCCTGTTACAACATGCAGAAAGTATGCTTACATTGGCACACACACACACACACACACACACACACACACACACAATCTTGGAATGTGCTTTGGGACTCTGGGAAAAATAGATAAACCATCTAAACAGTGAAATTCATTTGCTGTTAAGTCACCTAAAGGTACTAACTGTGCATAGCACTTTGGGAAATGTAATGTGAAAGCAGAATGTCAAATAAATTATTGGATTTTCTCCCCTGATTCTACCTAAATGGCCTAGAAGTGCAAGTCATTCGTGTGTGTGTGTGTGTGTGTGTGTGTATCTCACACCAATTGGTTCTTGCTTGAAGACTGTACCACAACTCGAAAAACTTCATCTGTGCTCAGTGATGTTTTGCCCTCAGCAAGTAGTGCCAGTTACAAAGACAGGAAGAGACTATGGTAATTAATGATAAACGGAGAAAAATTAAGGAGGGAAGGTTCGCCATTCATATGATGCCTGCTATAATACTGTGAACATGTAGAAAAATATTGCTGCAAGGCTTTAAACGTACTCATTTTTTTAAAAAGAGAGTACGGTGCAATCATTTCCATGTGTATTCAGATGTGAGTTTGATTCATGCTGTATACAGGCATCTCCCCCTCATGAGTTTGCCATTGTATGAAGGAGGAGAGTGAGGGTCTAGGTACAAAACCATACGAGGTGCCTCCATGAATAAAGATGGTCCCTGGTGCAGATATTCAGCTCCAACTCATGGAGGGCAGCAGGGCCAGGTCATCAGAAATGTGATAGAGGAGAAGGAACTCATAACCAGCCTTCATTTCTTCCCCTCACATGAGGGGAAATGGCTGAACAGGGCATTGCTCCCAGGCAAGTGGTTGCAGCCTTAAAGTGGAAGTGTCACTCTACATCCATAAGAGATTGAAAGGTGTGAGTCTATTGTGCAGGTTACCTGCCAAGTCTACTTTAAAGCCACTGAATACACTGATTCCAGGCAGTGTCCTGAGGTAATGCAGTTAACTGTTCATGTAACAATGCTCTATACAAAAACAGTTAACTGTTTCTCCGACTACCTACGGGTCACTGATGGCTAGCACGGGGATGAGGCTCCTATGTACCTCTCCGTCTTCCATATTCTGAAATGTTTTTAGTGGTTTTGAATTTTATAATGTTTAAATTATATTGCAATGCTTAAATGTTTAAGCATTGCAATATATGTTTGCAATATATGCAAAATGTTTAAATTATATTGCAATGCAGTCCATGCATTCTGAAATTTGCAGGCATGCAATTTCTTGGGCGCAGTTGGTTTATGGAGCTCTGAGGCATAATTGTTAAGACAGGGCTTGCTGTTTAGCTGTGCTGTACCCTTATTTGCATTCTTCCTCTGGGATTAGTGAGTACTTTTTGCAGAGTCAGAACAGATAAAAGGTGTGGAAAGCCTTTCTTTCTTTCTTTCTTTCTTTCTTCCTTCCTTCCTTCCTTCCTTCCTTCCTTCCTTCCTTCCTTCCTTCCTTTCTTCCTTTTTCTTCAAACTTCGACATATAGAGGATGGAAAGGGAACCTTGAATGGAGTTAAATATACACTTCTGTTTCTGTGGGAAATAGCTTTATATGTGATTATATTAGTCTGTGTATATGTTAAAGGTGCACAGTTGTGTGTAGGTTTGCCCATTACTCAGACTACTAAATTATATTGCAAGTCATCTGTCACATGCTGTCAAATAACCCTACTGACATTGCTACTCTCAGGACAGTCAAATAATGTCAAATCACAACTGCTTTGTGTCAAGATACTGGCTGAAGCTGCAAGCCAGCAGTTGGATACTGTTAGATGTTGTCTGCAAGGGCAAATTATTTTCCTGATGGCACAGGCTGATGCCCAGTAGTAAGTATTCACAGAAACGCCACTGAATATTCAAACACGTGCAACCACAACTGAGCTAGATGGGTGGAAGGTGTTTCAGCTAAAGGGAGTGTGGTTGTGTGTACATGTACGCAGCGTTCATAAACATGAGGAACACACCAATGGGACACAGCAGAGGGAGAGAGCAGAAAGCCTAGTGGAAAAGAGTTCTATTGACCAGCAAATTTGAGATCTGAGAGTGAGCTGCTGTATAGATATTATTACCCAATATTACTTGTATGAGATTGTTTGGGCGTTCAGATGAGCCTCTAAGGTCCAGCCAATAGATAAGACATGGCTTGTTAGTGGGATGCCCCCCAAATACCTTTCCCTAAAGAAAATACAGTGGTACCTCGGGTTAAGTACTTAATTCGTTCCGGAGGTCCGTTCTTAACCTGAAACTGTTCTTAACCTGAAGCACCACTTTAGCTAACGGGGCCTCCTGCTGCTGCTGCGCCGCTGCTGCACGATTTCTGTTCTCATCCTGAAGCAAAGTTCTTAACCCGAGGTACTATTTCTGGGTTAGCAGAGTCTGTAACCTGAAGCGTATGTAACCTGAAGTGTATGTAACCCAAGGTACCACTGCACATATGTCCTCATCATTGCTGACATAGTACTCTTAAAGACATTTTGCGTTCAATCGGCACTTTACTAATTGCTGTGTTGTGGGTTCAGGCAATATGTCCTGAAAGTCAGTTTAGAAATCCATTTTTGAAAGTGCAGTAGGCAGCAATGAAGCACACGCTCACAAAACTGCACATAATGCAAGGCTTTGCCTATTCCTAGGCTGCATTTCCACGTATGCTTGCCACCATTTGATGGGCATCTCCCTATCAAAACCACAAAGGGACACATTGATCTTCATATTGCCCTCTTAACGGCGTTCCCTTCTCATTTTCCTCCTGCCTCAGCAGAACCTCAGAACTAGTTACTGTTGCCGCGACCCTTTTGAACCGAAAAGGACAGGCTTCTAAAGAATGAATCTCTCAGGGTGCTGGTGGATGCTATTCTCCTTTTCTGTGTTAATCGGCAAAGCGATAGGAGGGTGTCAAAGCAAAGCTGCCAGCATTGCTTGGCATTCCTACCTGGGCTTTGCTAAAAATTCCAGTCCTCAGCGGATTACAAGGGTGGCATTAGAGCTTCAAAGGAGAGCTGGCTTAGCACTGAACTGCAACTCCTTAGAAGCTCGATCAACTGAGCAGTGCGGGAAAGACCTGCGTCATGCCACAGCCTTTTATAACTCTGTCCTGATGTGAGATATCTTAATGTGGGAAAGGAAGGCTTAAAAGAAAAGGGAACAATCAAGTTTCCTGGAAAAAAGACAGTAATGATGATCACCTATCCCCTGCAACCGACATTGTAAATATGAAGGTAACATGGTATATACGTCCAGTGTTTGTGGTAGGTGATGCAGCAGAAAAAAGCATTCAAGTTTTAACTTTATGAGTAAAAGCCAAAGCACATTTTTCAAACAGAAAAATAAATCCAAGCAAGGAATTTTTCTACCTATCAGATGCATCTTTTTAACATTCCTCCATCCGGTACGCAGGCTGAGGCCCTACCTGCGGACTGTCTTGCCAGAGTGGTGCATGCTCTAGGGGAAACTCAGCCAGATGGGCGGGGTATAAATAAATTATTATTATTATTATTATTATTATTATTATTATTATTATTATATAACGTGGCAACATTGCCTCCTCCCATTAGCCAAATATTGCTGAGGAAGAACATCTCACTTAGTGATGGGGGAGACCTAGAAGCTTGAGGTCCTCATGTGCAGATCGTGAAACCCCTGTGCACTGTGCTCACTTTTTCAAATGTACTGCAGTGAGAAAAGACGATGCAGGTGGTTGTCAGGAACTCTGCAACAGGACCTCAGGCAGTAGCTTCTGCCACATATGTTCACAGCAGAATCAGAGATGGTGGGACCCTCAGGAAATATAGTTGCCATGGCTTCCAGATTCCATGGTTGCTGCTGTGCATACCTCCCCCAGGCATCAGTCTCTCCCATGGAATTCACCTAGGAGTAATTACATCCATCCTGGATTGCATCAGATTACCCTCAAATATCTAGTGTGGGAATTGTGTGGAGAGAATTTCTGCAAGCAATTGATCCCTCAACCTGCTACTCAAGCCTGATACCATCTCCTCCTGTTCCTTTCTGGTATTTAGGGTGGGGCAGCCAGAGGTATGAGGGGTGTGCAGAGTGACTTGGGACTAGCTAACACCTGATATGGTGTGTAAGAACAAAAACTAATGTAGGGTTGCCATATTTCAAGAAGTAAAAATCCGGACACCCCCAAAGTTGTGGGCTTTTTTTTAAGGAAAAGTCAAAAATTATACAAAAATGCCAAATACGATTTCTCAGTTTACTTGCCAAAGATCCAGGACAAACCACACCTTACAGAAATTCCCCTCAGAATTTCCACCTTTGACATCCCAGTAATGTCCTGGAAATCCTGGATGCATGGCAGCCCTATAGTAATTACATGGTTCTGTTTATGTCTTTGCTACTGTAGCTCAGTTGGCAGAGCATAAGACTATTAATCTGAGGGCCATGGGTTTCAGCCCCATGTTGGGCAAAAGATGCCAGCAATGCAGGGGGGCGGGGTTGGACTAGATGACCCTCGTGTTCCCTTCCACCTCTAAAATGCTTTCACTTTATGAATGGAAGAGTTCTGCCACCTCCAAAGTGCTTCCCAGTGACAATCGGATCCTATTACGTAATTGGTGTTCTTGGCTGAGTTTTGTGGCTATTTTATATTGTTGTCATTGATTTATCATATTATACTTTAGTATTAAGACATATTAATGATGTATGGAAGTGAGAGCTGGACCATAAAGAAGGCTGATCGCCGAAGAATTGATGCTTTTGAATTATGGTGCTGGAGGAGACTCTTGAGAGTCCCATGGACTGCAAGAAGATCAAACCTATCCATTCTTCAGGAAATCAGCCCTGAGTGCTCACTGGAAGGACAGATCGTGAAGCTGAGGCTCCAATACTTTGGCCACCTCATGAGAAGAGAAGACTCCCTGGAAAAGACCCTGATGTTGGGAAAGATGGAGGGCACAAGGAGAAGGGGACGACAGAGGACGAGATGGTTGGACAGTGTTCTTGAAGCTACCAGCATGAGTCTGACAAAACTGTGGGAGGCACTGGTCCATGGGGTCACGAAGAGTCGGACACGACTAAACGATTAAACAACAACAACAATGTGGTTTACCACTTTGAGGGCCTTGGGGCCAAAAAGCATTATATAGATAAACCAACCGTGCCATATTACAGAATTTGTGCTGTCTCCTCACCTGAGGATCTTAGGTTCGCAAATGCATGTAGGCTCTTTCATGCAATCAGGAACCCTGATCATGCAGGGCTCCCAGTTTCATAGAGATGCCTAGGCATGTTCAGCCAAATGTACACAGGCAACCCATTTAGACCTTCTATCCTTGTAATACTTGAACTTCTGGAGGATGAAGCAGGAAGGAACAGTAATATCAGGGCAAGTCTAGCACGAATAGTCCCCCTCTCCCATCACACATTCTTGGAAGACGTGCAGAATAACCTCAGGGTAGGGGCTTCAGTCTAGCCTCCAATCTACAAGACTGGGATGAAATATTGAACTGCCCTGTAGGTTTATTGTACGCATGAATGCACTTGGAGCTATCCAAGCTCTTTTATAAATACGGAGTATTATTTAAACAGTGCTTCCACAAATGTGAGCTTCAGACCTGAAATAAACTGAGCTAACCTGGATTTCAGTTCAATGCAGTGTGATCGAAAGATCTGTTCAAACAGAATTCCCTGTCATGTCGGCTGTCAGATTCCATGTGTTGCATTTATTATTTATTATATTTGCTCACAGCCTCGGGGAGGGGGGGGGAGGAGGAAGGGAGTGGAGGTAGGAAGCTTGGAGCTCCTTTCCTTCACAAAACAACTTTAGCGTGGAGGTAGGTCAAGGCCACTGACATTGTTTCAAGGCTGAGCATGTACTTAAAACTGAACTTTCCCCACAAACAAGCGTCATGCTTCAGTGTCCAGCAACTGCACCACACTCTGCGGAATCAGAGTGTATTAGAGGTCAAAGCAGATGACCCTTTGATGCACTTTTCATTAGCAGGCTGCGTGCAACTGAAAAAGCACACACCCTCAAATCCTGTAAATGTGGAGTCATTTTCACACTCTTGTCAGTGAAATACGACTCCCGCACACTCTGTGGGAAACACTGCTAGATTTAAGGGAATCTTTTAAGCTTCTCTTGAAAGTCCACAACGTTTTTGCCTGAGCAGAAACTTCCAAAACTGCTCCACATTTTGCTTTAGGGAGAATTCAGTGGCAACTGAATAAAATGTGTACTGAGAAATCTGTTTAGCATTCCTCAGAATTCCTCGCATAGTTTGCCCAAGCAGGAATTTCCAAATTTCACTGTAGGCAATGTTTGGTGGCAGCTTGGAACAAACTATTTATTGTGAAACTACTTTCTGATGTTGCAAGCTTTTGTAGTATTAGCATTGCCAACTTTTGTTCTCTCTCTATCCCCAGTAAAAGCTATCACTATTCTAAGACGGAAAAGGTTTCTAATACCTAGAGAAGAAAAGAGTATCAGATATTGGTATGGTTAATTCTGTGGAATGTCTTGCAGAGATAGCCTTTGAGTAACATGTATGGGTGCTTGAACAGATGTATGCATTAGTAGCATTTGGATCTGTGCTTAGTAAACATCATATCTATCATATTAGGCTGCAGTCCGATACAGTGCTACCTCGGGTTAAGTACTTAATTCATTCCAGAGGTCCGTTCTTAACCTGAAACTGTTCTTAACCTGAAGCACCACTTTAGCTAATGGGGCCTCCTGCTGCCACCGCGCCACCAGAGCATAATTTCTGTTCTCATCCTGAAGCAAAGTTCTTAACCTGAAGCACTATTTTTGGGTTAGCGGAGTCTGTAACCTGAAGCGTATGTAACCTGAAGCGTATGTAACCTGAGGTACCACTGTACCTGTTTATTGCAAGCAAGCTCCACAAAACTTGGTGGGACTTATCTCTGAGTAAGCATGCATAGGCTCACATTGTTAGAGAAGTTAGGAAAGTGGCAAAAAAAGGAGATGGCCTTTTTAGTTGTGGCCCTCTGTCTATGCAAAGGTCTCCCCAGTGAGCCCTATCTTGCACTGACATTATTTGGGGGGCCAAGTTAAAACTTTTCTAGCTCTCAGGTGTTTGAGGGTATGTGGAAGGCTGTTTCGCTGATCATCAGTTTTTTATTTGATTTTTGTTACTGGTATATCTGCTGCTGTTGAACTTGTTAATTTTTATGGGGGACATGATCTTAGTATTATATAGAGCCATTGTGGTTTGTTGTTTGGTTTTAAACTCTGTATATTTTCTTTGTTTTACATTTATGTTTTATATTTTTATTTTTATGTAAGTTGCCAAGGTCATTTTGAGAAAGACAACTAGTAAATTTAACAAATAAGAATAATGTGATCACACAATGATAGCCGACTTCCCCATGGTTGCCCTGCCTTTAGAAAAGTGGTCCCCAGATTCAAGGCCTACTCTCTAACAGGACTAGAGCAGTGGTTCCCAAACTTGTTTCCACGCGGACCCCTTGAAAATTGCTGATGGTAGACCACTTAAGGAGGGTTCCCCACCCCTGTCCACTGAAGCAATTGTAATGTGCTATGCTAGATACCGTATGAATTTTAATTGTATTTTAATTGCATCTTTTATTTTATTGTATTGCAATTTGAATTTCATAGAAGAAGAAGAGTTTGGATTTGATATCCCGCTTTATCACTACCCGAAGGAGTCTCAAAGCGACTAACATTCTCCTTTCCCTTCCTCCCCCACAACAAACACTCTGTGAGGTGAGTGAGGCTGAGACTTCAGAGAAGTGTGACTAGCCCAAGGTCACCCAGCAGCTGCATGTGGAGGAGCGGAGACACGAAACTGGTTCCCCAGATTACGAATCTACCGCCCTTAACCACTACACCACACTGGCTCTCCAGTTGTTAGTGTTCTTCACATACACTCTGCAGACCACGTGAATATGGTCCATGGTTTGGGAACCTCTGATCTAGAGACTTTTCTAGAGGCCATACATCTACCATGACTCCTCTCTTCTCCCCAGTTCTATGCCACAAGCTGGTGCTAGTTATTGCTGGCTGAATATGATTGGCTGGGTTGAAATTCCCCCTCCATTTTCCTGGAAATATCCTGCCCCTCTGAAAACAAGGGCTGCTACTGCCTTTGTTGTGGTGAGGGAAGAGAAACAGCTCTGAAGTATTTGGGGGTGGGGTTGCTGCTTACCTTACTGCAGGGGTCACCAGCTTTTTGGGCCCACGGGCCCATTTGCAAACTCAAAAAATTGTTGTGGGCACCCCTCACACACCGCAGCCCAAGCACACACCACAATCTATTCCATTGGCTTCATTTGAATAATTATTTCAAGCCTAATTTCAGCAGGGGCAGGGAATGGGATACTTTGAGCACCAGGGAAAACCTCTATGGGCACATGGTGTGTACCTTCAGGCTTCAGGTTGGTGACCTCAGACAGTTCTTCTCCAGCCACACTTCCAGAAAGGCTTTGAGAGTGACATGATATGGAATCCATCCAAGGCAGTCCAGCAAGTGCCAGCGGGATGTGGCAAAGAGAGGACATCTGTAAGCAGTGCAGGGCTAAATAAATAAGTACAGTGGTACCTCTGGTTATGAACGCTTCAGGTTACGAACGCTTCAGGTTATGAGCTCCGCTAACCCAGAAGTAGCTGTTCCTGGTTGTGAACTTTGCCCCAGGATGCGAACGGAAATCGCGGGCAGCAGGAGACCCCATTAGCAAAAGCGCACCTCAGGATCAGAACGGTTTCAGCTTAAGAACGGACCTCCAGAATGAATTAAGTTCATAACCAAACGTACCACTGTAAAATCAGTCAGAAAAATTGAAACACTCCTGGGCATCTTGTAAGATAATCAGAAACCCCCACCCAAATTTTTCAAAGAATCCACCCCACCATAATTTTTGGAGGATTTTGTTTTGCTCCCACCTAGCCAAAAGATTGTTGATTCTTTTTTTGGGGTGGTGGTGGTGGTGTCAGTTCTACTTTAAGGCACAAGCATAACACTACAGAACATAAAACAACAGAAGGGCAAGAACATAAGAATAAGATGAGCCCGCTGGATCAGGCCAATGCGTCCTGGATCTAGTCCAGCATCCTTTTCTCACAGTGGCCAACCAGATACCCATGGGAGATCTGCAAGCAGGATCTGAGCGCAAGAGCATTTTCGCCTTCGGTGGTGTCCAGCAACTGTTGTTCAGAAGCATTACAGCCCATCCTAAACATGGTTGTACAAATCTGGGGGAGACTGTGTAGAAGCTAGGTAGCTAATTATTAGGTAGCTAATGATACTTCAGATTTTAGGGTTTGTTCAATTTGTATTAGGTCATGGGGTGAATTTATTCCACTTCCATACAAATTACTGAGCTGTAACTGATCTATATTATTATTTTCCTGCCTCGTCTGACCCCTTTTCCAGTTGTTTTGATGTATGAAAAATTATGGCTATGGCTCAAGAGAGTGGGGTGCTA